TGGCAGCGGCCACTGCACTCCAGTCTGGGCGACAGAGTGAGACTCCAACTCAAAACAAAAACAAAAACAAAAACACTTCACTTCCGGCTAGGCGCCATGGCTCACGCCTATAATCCCAGCACTTTGGGAGGCCGAGGCAAGAGGACTCTCTGAGCCCAAGGGTTCGAGACCAGCCTGGGTGACTTGACCAGACCTCGTCTCTACAAAAAATAAAAAAATTAGCAGGACGAGGTGGCACGCGCTAAAAGACAAACTCCACTTCCTCAGTCACCCTGACCACATATCAAGCGCGCAAAAGCCATTTGTGGCTTGTGATTACCTTATTTAGACAGCGTAGATACAGAAAGTTCTCATGGACAGGGCTGGCTAGACCTTTTTCATTTTTATTTTAATAGGAGTCTCACTCTGTTGCCCAGGCTGGAGTGCAGTGGCACGCTCATGGCCACCACAGCCTCGACCTGCTGGGCTCCGGCGATCCTTCCTCCTCAGCCTTCCGAGTAACTGGAATTATAGGCATGCACTACCACGCCCGGCTGATTTTTGATGTATTGTAGAGATGAGGTCTCGCTGCCCAGGCGGGTCTCGAACCCGTGGGCTCAGGCAATCCACTCACCTCAGCCTCCCAGACGCGCGGGATTACAGGCTGAGCCACCGAGCCCAGCCATAACAGTATAATTAACCGATATGTAAATGTCATAGATTGGGCATCCCACAACAAACTAACATTTAACATCAAGAGAAAAGGGACCCGAGAAAGGGCTCACGAACCAGTCCAGGGAAAGTGGGGTGAGCAGAAGGAATCTACCTGGGTCAGTACTCAGACATCTTACAGGGGAGTCTTGACGGGGGCAGAGCCTACTGTGGTCAATGTCAGGTGCTTAACATGAGCCAGACGCTGTCTGGAAGGAGCTGGTAAAGTCCTTTCTTTTTATGGCCACAATAGTCCTCTGGTGAGAACTGAGAGTAGAGGGCAGGGGCTTGGTTATGTCCTTTGTTTGTTTATTTGTTTTTTGAGTTGGAGTCTCACTCTGTCGCCCAGGCTGGAGTACAGTGGCACACTCGCGGCCACCGCAGCCTCAACCTGCCGAGCTCAGGCGAACCTTTGGCCTAGTCTTCCAAGTAGCTGGAACTACAGGTGCGCCCCACCATGCCCGGATAATTTTTTTTTTATTCATTGTAGAGATGAGGTCTCTCAAGTTGCCCGTGCTGGTCTCAAACTTGTGGGCTCAGGTAACCCTCTCTCCTTGGCCTCCCAAAGTGCCGGGATTATAGGCATGAGCCACTGTGCCTGGCCTAATTCTTTCTTTCTTTTTTAATAAGAAATAAATCTTTTTTTTTTTTTTTTTGAGTTGGCGTCTCACTCTGTCACCCAGACTGGAGTGCAGTGGCCGCTCCCGGCCACCGCAGCCTCGACCTGCTGGGCTCCGGCGATCCTTCCGCCTCAGCCTTCCAAGTAGCTGGAACTACAGGCGCGTGCTACCACACCCGGCTCATTTTGATTTATTGTAGAGATGAGGTCTCGCCAAGTTGCCCAGGTGGGTCTCGAACCCACAGACTCAGGCAATCCACTCACCTCAGCCTCCCAAAGGCACGGGATTACAGGCTGAGCCACTGAGCCCGGCCTAATTCTTAAATAATGTAAATAACAGGCCTCTCCTGTCATTTTCTGATCCCAGGAGAAACACTTGAAAACCTTTTGTCTAATCGTTCATGTGGTTACTATATTCTCATAGTATGCTTTTACCTCTTTCTTTTTTTTTTTTTGAATCCAGGTCTCACTCTGTGACCCAGGCTGGAGTGTAGTGGCACACTCACAGCTCACCTGCAGCCTTGAACTCTTGGGCTCAAGCAATCCTCCCAACTCAACTTCCCAAGTACCTGGGACTATAGGTGTGTAGCACCACACTCAGCTAATTTGTTTTGTTTTGTTCTGTTTTGTAGAGACGAGGTCTAGCTATGTTGTCCAGGCTGGTATTTCTTGATTTAACATCTTTAGATAGTATCAATTTACTTTGTACTATAAAAAATAGAAAATGTAGTTTATTTACAGGCAAGCCTTGGACTAGGGTTAGATGACAAGATGACTTTAATGTAGTATTTGAAAAAAACCAAAATTAATAAAGGAAAAAGTCTAGGTAAACAAAATACAAAATGTTAATAAAGACAGAATCAGCATTATTGATTTCTTCTAGGTTTTGTTAATGATCCTGTCTTTATTTAACATAATTGATTGCTCTGTTAGTGACCCTGTCTTTTTTTTGTTGTTGAGGTGGAGTCTCACTCTGTCGCCCAGACTGGAGTGCAGTGGCCGCTCCCGGCCACCGCAGCCTCGCCTGCTGGGCTCCTGCGATCCTTCCGCCTCAGCCTTCCGAGTAGCCGGAATTACAGGCACGCGCTACCACGCCCGGCTGATTTTTTTATTTATTGTAGAGATGAGGTCTCGCTGCCCAGGCGGGGTCTCGAACCCGCGGGCTCAGGCAAGCCACTCACCTCAGCTTCCCAGGGCGCGGGGTTACAGGCTGAGCCACCAAGCCCGGCTGACCCTGTCTTTATTTAACTTGATTGAGTTGAGGACTTACTCCATCACCCAGGCTAAAGTGCAGTAGCATGATCGATCATGGCTCACCACAGCCCACAACTACTAGGCTCAAGTGATCCTTCCTCCTCAGCCTCCTGAGTAGCTGCAACTACAGGTGCGCACCTCCAAGCCTGGCTCATTTTTTGATTTTCTGTAGAGAGGAAGTTTCGCTATGTTGTCCAGGCTGGTCTCTAACTTCTGGGCTCAAGTGACCTCCCACCTCAGTCTCCCAAAGTGCTGGAATTACAGGTGTGAGCGACCAATATTTATATTAAATAAAAGTATATAATTTTTATATTTTGTCCACTGTGACTTTTTTTGCATTCATTTTTTTTTTTTTTTTTTTTTGAGTTGGAGTCTCACTCTGTCACCCAGACTGGAGTGCAGTGGCCGTTGCCGGCCACCACAACCTCGACCTGCTGGGCTCCGCGATCCTTCCACCTCAGCCTTCCAAGTAGTCAGCCTTCCAAGTAGTCAGAATTACAGGCATGCGCTACCACGCCCGGCTCATTTTTTGATTTACTGTAGAGATGAGGTCGCGCTGCCCAGGCGGGTCTCGAACCCACGGGCTCAGGCAACCCACTCACCTCAGCCTCCCAAAGGCGCGGGATTACAGGCTGAGCCCCCGTGCCCGGCTTTCATTTTGATTTTTAGAAATACTGCATTAAAGTATTCATCTTGGTTGCTGAGTTTTCTGGTGCCACCTTAAATTTAGCACAGGAGGTCCCACTTAAGGGCCTGTATCCTTCCCACCTCCAGTCATTTGTAATTCTGATGGTTAATTTCACTTTAAAGTTCTCTTTTTTGCCCCCCTCCCTTACCTTGGGGAGGTGAATCTCCTCTGTCTCTCTCACTTTTACATTCAAGAGAAACTATATTTTTCCAAACTAAAAAAAAAGTTTCTTTCTTCTTCATCTCTTGACATACTGTCTCCCTTTGTTCTGTAGGACGATGCAACAACAAATTTTACTTACAGGGATTTAAAACGTTTGCTCCGTTCTGTCCAGTACCCCAAAGTGAGACTTTGTGTAAAGCCACTAAGCTTTCATCTAAGTTATTCTTTTTTCTTCTTCTTCTTGAGTTGGAGTCTCACTCTGTCACCCAGGCTGGAGTGCGGTGGCTGCTCCCGGCCACCACAGCCTCGACCTGCTGGACTCAGGCGATCCTTCCGCCTCAGCCTTCCAAGTAGCTGGAACTACAGATGCGCTACCACGCCCGGCTAATTTTTGGATTTATTGTAGAGATGAGGTCCCGCCAAGTTGCCCAGGCTGGTCTCGAACCCGTGGACTCGGGCAATCGTCTCACCTCGGCCCCCCAAAGTGCCGGGATTATAGGCGTGAGCCACCGCGCCCGGCCTAGGTTATTCTCTAAGTGCCTCCCGTACCCGTTATCTTCCGGACCAGCTTTGCCTTAGCTCGTGGGAACCCGTGAGCTCCCCATTATCCGGCCTTGAGAAGAAGGGGCGCCCCAGGGGCGTGCACCCAAAGAAGTGCTTTCTGTGGGCCCCCCCAAGCGCAGAATCTGAGCCTTGCAAAGGAAGAAACAAATTCATTTCCAAGTCTTCCAGGTGCTCTCGGCCCCCCAAGCCCAGAGTCACTGTGACTCAGCAGAATCCGAACCTAAAGAAGCGCCGCGGTCCACACCCGGCTCTTCGCTTTTCCCGCCCCATCGCGTGCAGAGGCCCACAAGGCGTGCCCAGCAGATCCCCGAACTCGATCGGAAACTTTCTCGTCGCACCTCCGGGTGGGGTGGCCTCAGGGCAGGGTGCAGATGGCCTTGCCGAGCACCCCCAGCCAGACCTTGGAGGCCTCCCTTGCCCCTCCACCGCTGTCTCCAGGGGACCCTTTGGACTTCCGCCGGTTGGGGGGGTCCCTCCTTCATGTCCCTTCCTCTCGGCAACCACAGCCTCGGGTCCTCTGCACAGCGCCCCAGGGTTTAGGCGTCGGGCCCCGCCCTTGCTGGCTGCCCAGCTCCGGTGGGCCGGGCCAGGCAGGCTATAAAGGAGAGGGTGCCCTGCGTGCAGCACTTGGGCCTCCTGCACGGTTGCGCCGGCACAGCCCAGCTCGACCCGGACCGGCCCCGCCCAGCGTGTACCTTTCCCGGCCAGGGTCGCCCCGGCAACCACCAGCCCAGTCAATCAGCGCCCGGGACTACGTAGGAGCCATGGCCGGTGAGTGCCGCACCCGGCGAGACGCTTGAGTCTCCGGAGTCCCTTGGTGCGGAGGAGGTTGTGGGGGCTTGGCCCGGAGTTTTGTCCCTTGACTCAAAACTGACAAAGTGAAGCGATGAGGGTCCTGGAGTGAGCCTTGACCAGACTGCGGGAGACGGAGACCTTCCGTCTCCACTCCAGGGTTTCGGATCCTCCTGCACCCCACCCCCGCATACTGTGGTGGCCGTTTAGGAGAGACTTGACCTTGGAGGCAACATCAATTGCCTCCAAAACGGGGGTTGGAAACTGACCCTCGGAAGCCAAATCTGGCCCGCCGTCCATGCCTCTTTTGTCGTGGTAGTATTTAAAGCATCTTGAAATAAGTTGCTAATATTAAAAATGGATGATTTCACTTCAAATTGTGGAGTCCCAGCTTCTGGAGGGAAACCGGAAGATCAAGTGACTGGTAGGCTGGAGCTGAGGAAGCTGCTCTCTTTAATTTGATAGAGACCAGGACCTGCCTGACCCAGGAGACATTTTTCCACTGTGGCCCTTGGATTAGTCTAAGATTGGACAGCACTAAAATTTAGAAAGCTGATTCCTCAACTGTGGTAGAACTTTTCTTTTTTTTTTTTTTTTTAAGAGTCAGAGTCTCACTCTGTCGCCCAGGCTGGAGTGCAGTGGCAAGCTCACAGCCACTGCAGCCTCGACCTGCTGGGCTCAGGCACTCCTTCCGCCTCAGCCTTCAAGTAGCTGGAAGGACAGGTGCGTGCCACCACGCCCAGCTAATGTTATGATTTATTGTAGAGATGGGGTCTTGCCAAGTTGCCCAGACTGGTCTCGAATCCCTGGGCTCAGGCAGTTCTCTTGCCTATGCCTTCCAAAGTGTTGGGATTACAGGCGTGAGCCACTGCGCCTGGCAGAACTCTTCCTTTTTGTAATTTCCTTCCCTCTGAACCTTGCTCCACCTCTGAAAACACACATGCATACGTAAGAATCTCATCTTACTAAAAGTGAGTGGGGAAGAATTTGCTCTTCTTACTTTTGACAAAGTACAATTGTCAGAATCTCTGAAAAAGGCTGAGCCGGGGATTGGAAACCTGAGTCGCTGCAGAGACAGCAGGGAAGGGATTTTGACAGCTGAGGGCTTATGGGGTGTCTGTTAGCTGCTATTTCCCTGGACTTTCTTCTGCACCTGCCATGAGGCACAGGCATCTCCTCCGATACTAGATCAAGAACTATTTCCTGGTTTTGCAATCCTATAGAATATTCTGTGTCAATGTTAGCTTAAACACATAAAAGGGGGTGGTAATGAAGGAAAATGGGAAGCTTTGGATCTTGTCTAACTGGTTTTAGCTATACCCAGCTAACCAAATCCTGAGGTTAACTGAAGCATCCGGGCATTTGTCTGCCACTAATGAGTGCATCTGACTCACACAGTTTTCTGGAGGGTTCAAGTGAGAACAGAAGGCAGAAAGAACGCATGAAACTGATCTGAGGCTTACCCTCCTATTTCCATTAGGTTTTCCTTGATTGCTTATTCACTCTGCCAAGATCATGTGGGTATTCAGTCTTTTACTACCAAAGATATCTAAATATATGCTACAATAAAACAGTGTACAACAATCCCTTTCTTTCTCTGCCAGTTTTATCTTTTTTGTCACTAAGTTCTACTGTGTTGGTCATCAATGAAACCATGCAGCTTGACAGGGTACAGTTTGATTTGGAAAGTTAGTAAAAATTCATGGTTTCAGACTGACCTGAGCTTGAAGGCAGAAAATAGGAGGAACGTTGGAGCAATGATGGCAGAGCTCGGCTCTCACGGAACAGTCCAGAGACTTTGAGCATCAGAATTTAGGTTCCATGAAGACAAAGATTTGTGTCTGTTTTGTACACTGATGTGTTCTTTCTTTCTTTTTTTAATTGGAGTCTCGCTCCGTCGCCCAAGCTAGGGTGCAGTGGCATGCTCACGGCCACCCCAGCATCGACTTGCTAGGCTCGGGGGATCCTTCCACCCCAGCCTTCCAAGTAGCTGGAACTACAGGCGCACGCTACCATGCCTGGCTAATTTTTTATTTATTTATTTATTTAGAGTTGGAGTCTCACTCTGTTGCCCAGACTGGAGTGCAGTGGCCAGAGTGGCCACCACAGCCTCGACCTGCTGAGCTCTGGCGATCCTTTTGCCTCAGCCTTCCGAGTAGCCGGAATCACAGGCATGCGCTACCACACCTGGCTGATTTTTTGAAAATTTTTTATTTATTATAGAGACAAGGTCTCGCTAAGTCGCCCGAGCTAGTCTCGAACCCATGGGCTCAGGCAGTCCACTCACATCTCACAAAGTTCTGGGATTACAGGCTGAGCCACCGAGCCTGGCCACTGATGTGTTCTGAGTGGCTGGAAGGGTGCCTGGCACACAGATGCTGCCCAGTTAGCAATTGTGGAGTGGCTGAGATGATTGGTTCATGAGAAATTAGCATTTCATAGGGAGAAAGAAAAGTTGGCTGATGTGGACTTGAGGTGGAAATGAAAAACAGGGTAGGGGGAAATGAACAAGCGAAGCCAGCAAATTAGTTGCCATCTTGCTTCTAGCTGTCTCTAATCAATTCTCAACTGCATCCTGTTTTTCCTCTGTGGGGGACTCAGAAAACCAGGCCATCTGCCTGTCTAGAAAAACTGTCTCAGTTACCGGCTTTGTTGTTTATCCTGGGAAACTTGTCCTGCTGAATTCCTGTTTCAGTGTTGCTTAGCTAGTTGAGTGGCAGAAAGGGAACGTGAAGCCTCCAAATCCAGAAAACTTAGTTTGTCCATGAAAAATTGACGTGGAAACTAGTGACACGAGATGATTCTTTCTGGGTAGTGAGTCTCTCGATTTCCCCTTTACTCCTGGCAAATAAGCGTGACTGTTCTGTTAATTGGAAATGAGTGTTTTGTTCGTTGCCTGTTCAGAACCTTTCACCATTTTCCTATTGAGTTGCCTTAGGAATCAATATATTCCAGGAGTTGCTTTCTTTCTTTTTTTTTTTTTTTTGAGTTGGATGGAGTCTCACTTTGTCGCCCAGGCTGGAGTGCAGTGGCAGACTCACAGCCACCACAGCCCCGACCTGCTGGGCTCAGGCGATCCTTCCACCTCAGCCTTCCAAGTAGCTGGAACTACAGGTGCGTGGTACCACTCCCGCTTTTTTTTTTTTTTTGGTTTATTGTAGAGATGAGTTCTCACCAAGTTGCCCAGACTGGTCTCCCCTAACCCTAACTCCTGGGCTCAGGCAATCCTCTCACCTCGGCCTCCCAAAGTGCTGGGATTACAGGCTTGAGCCACCGTGCCTGGCCTAGAGTTGCTCTTTCATTTGCCCTATTTGTTATACATCTGTCATTCCCATTTGTGCCTGCACTTATTTGAAGATTTGTAAAGTCACAAAATGCCTATAGCTATTTGATGGTGAGCTTGAAAGAGCAAGAGATGGATATCCTGCTCACAGATGCAGGTCAATAGAATAAAAACTGTCAAAGCAGTGTACAGCGAACATCAATAAGACAAGGTAAATCACAAAGAAAATTCATGTGAGAGCTTAATATGCTCAGATTCCTCCCTGTGTTCATTCCCCCGTGATAAGAAAGGGGGTAAGGATTTGTTGAGGTAGTTCCAGGAGTTCCTTTTCCCTTCCCAGGCCACCTAAAGCTGGTAAATCACTTCCACAGCATTGAATGATTGATTGATTGAGTTGGAGTCTCACTCCATCGCCCAGACTGGAGTGCAGTGGCCGCTCCCGGCCACC